AGATGGGAGTACCAGACCACCTCACATGTCTCTTGAGAAACCTGTATAAGGGTCAAGAAGCAACAGTTAGAACCGGATATGGAACAACTGATTGGTTTCGCATAGGAAAAGGAGTACAACAAGGATGTATATTGTCACCTTGCTTATTTAATATATATGCAGAGTACATCATGCGAAATGCTGGCCTGGATGAATGACAAGCGGGAATTAAGATTGCTGGGGCATTGACACTGTCTAACCATCTCATCCTTTGCCGTCCCCGTCTTCTTTGACCTTCAATCTTTCCCAGCATCAGGGTTTTCTCCAGTGAGTGCAAACATGTCTTTCAAATGCCGGGAAAGATGCCTGGCTTTAAAGTTTGATGCGAACGTATCAAGCAAGCTAGTACTGTGAAAGGGTCATTATGGCTCCTGATTCTGCCACTTTCTCCAGATACTTGGTGACATATCTCTGCAGGTCTGCTATTGGTTCACTGACTTCAGCCTTTGAGAAGTTCCTGGTGGTGATGCACTGTGCTAAAACTGATGCTGCTTTTGGAAGAGCAGTTCTTCAGAGCCTGTTTCTTCAAGACGACCTGCAGATAACATCAGGTACATGGCTCCCTAGTCATCAAATCACCGCAGACTGTGACTGCAGCCATGAAATTAAAAGACGCCTGCTCCTTGGGAGGAAAGCGATGGCGAACCTAAACAGCATGATAAAAAGTAGAGACATCACCCTGCCAACAAAAGTCCGCATGGTCAAAGCAATGGTATTCCCAGTAGTCATGTATGGCTGCGAGAGATGGACTATAAAGAAGGCCGAGTGCCGAAGTGTAAGCTGGTCAGGCTTTTGGAGAACATTCAGAGCCTGCAGGAGAGGATCACCACCCTTCAGGAAATCAAGGAAGGGGACGACTTTATTGACAGGAGCCCGGGAACTCTGCAAGAACATGAAGAAGAAAGACAAGGAGAAGAAGGAAGAGTCGATCTCCCCTCTGAGCCTCCTTTTCAGTTCTACAGTACAAACCCGAAGACGTCGACCAAGACGATGCTCTGGTCCACTGGAGCTCAAGAATTGTTTTGAGGTGCTTGACAGGGTGACGGAGACGAGAGTGGAAGGAGAGCCACAAAGACCTGGAAAAGGGAGTGAAGAGGGCATGGAGCTGTACGGAAGTGGAAGGAAACGGAAAGTGGTGGTTGTCGGGGACTCTCTGCTCAGGGGTAATGTGTCCAGGCCGGATCCTTTACTCCGAGAGATGTGTTGCTTATCTGGGGCCAGAATTCAGGATATTACAGACCGGCTGCCAAAACTGATAAGACCTACTGATCAGTACCCGTTTGTGCTGGTTCATGTGGGGACAAATGACACAGCCGCGAATACCATCATGAAAATTAAAGAGGATTATGAAGCTCTTGGAAGGCAGCTGAAAGCATTGGGGGCACAGGTGGTATTCTCTCCTATCCTTCCAGTCACAGGAAGAGGAGTGCGACGAGAACAGACCATACTCGAGGTGAATTGTTGGCTGAGATGGTGGTGCCAGTAGGAGCACTTTGGGTTCTGGAACCACGGGATAAGTTTTCTTAGAGAAGGCCTTCTAGCACATGATGGGCTTCACCTCTCAAGGTTGGGGAAGAAAACATTCAGAAAGAACCTAGTCAGCTTAATCAGGAGAGCTTGAAACTGAAGCCACAGGGGGAAGGGGACGATCAACATGGGGACTTCAGTGAAGAAAACAGTGGGGGCCCACCTGGGTAGGACAAGTCAAACAAAGGTACAAGGCTACAAGTGCCTATATACCAATGCCCATAGTATGGGTAATAAAGAAGGAAGAGCTTGAGATTCTCTTGCAAACAGAGGGCTATGATATAATAGGAATCACTGAGACTTGGTGGGATGATTCTCATGACTGGGATGTGGTAGTGGATGGGTATGAGTTGTTTAATAAAAACAGGAAGGGTTGAAGAGGAGGCGGAGTGATGCTGTATGTGAAGAGGGCTAGAATGTCAGGAAGTTCTGGAGTGGTTGACAGCCCCATGGAAAGAGATGGGAGCTCACTCCGTCATGTGGCACTCGGGTCTCGAACTGCTAAGCTACCAACTTTCCAGTCTGCAGCTCAGCGTCTTAACCTCTAAGCCACCGCGGCCCCTTTTTCCATGATACCTTGTGCTTATTTAGAACTTTAAGAATCTTTGGACTTCCAAATTTTCACTGTCATTGTATTTATCTTTGAACTGAAGTGTCTACATATTGTTCCATGAGATGGAATACTGTAAATTTTTCTTACAAATAACAGTGGGAAACCAATAGCCGTAAGGAAAGAGATTATAAAGAAAAAATAAGGGTTATTTAAGTAATGCCAAGGAAAAAAATCTACTCCATCTTCAGGAGAAAAATGTCCTAATAAGCAAATGTAAGTTATTTGAGGTAGAAATACTAAAAAGGTTTAGTAATCTTTGGCTTCATTGCCTGGAATATATGGTAGCCCACAGTTGACACCATGAAATGCTAAGGGCTCCCGTTTCTACCCCCAGCTCCTGCCAACCTAGCAGTTCAAAAGCAAGAAACTGCAAGTAGGTAAATAGGTACCACTTCAGTGGGAAGGTAACAGCGTTCCGTGGGCCTCGGCATCTAGTAATGCTGGCCACATGACCATGGAGACATCTTCAGACAGAACTGGCTCTTCGGCTTGGAAACAGAGATGAGCACCACCCCCTAGAGTCGGATTCGACTAGCTTTTGAGCAAGGGAAACCTTTACCTTTTATGGTAGAAATGGGAGTATTTTACAAATCTCAAACCAATTCGAACAAAAGCAAAAAGGAAAGCCAAAGGCAGTAAGCTTCAGAGTTGCCCTTGGTAAAGAGTCTCATCTGCAGGAACAAGGTAAGTGCAGGGTGACTTACCATCTGCAACAAAGGGGTAGGAAAGGCTATTTGTTTCAGCCGCAAGTGTTGATGACAATTGTTGGCAATCTGTCCTTCAGTTCACACTTGTGGGTGCACCAGAGGGTGACATTCTTTTGGCATCGCCGCAGGCCTCTGGGGGAATTAAACTCCCAACTCATTGGTAAGGTATTGTGACGACCTCTTATCTGGGGAGGTCTAGTTTGCCTTTAAAAGTTCTTATGTTTTTACTCTGTAGGGTATTTTCGCCGCCATCAGGGAAATTTAAGGCTTTCCCAGCCTCTTACTATAATATATTTCTTCTTCTGGTTTGGTAATGTGGCCCAGGGTCTAGGCATTCATGAAGGACTATGTGTTATTTCCTGAGGAATTTCGTTCAGAACTGTTATCTTAAATAAAAGTAGATTTATTTGCCGTTTCACACACTTTTCTCTTCACTGACAGGGCTCTGGGTATGTCACTATGTAACAATGGTTTCCTTAGGCCATATATGTTAACTGTTTCTTATACATTCAACTTCAGCTTATATTTGTTTCAACACAGAACTGCTGGTCACTTTCTTTCATGCCCAGCTCTTAACTCTCAGACCTTAAAAGAACAAACTGCTTAACTCTTTTACTAGACAGAACTTATAACCACTGCTTTCACACAGCACTCTCTGCTGACTCTGTTTTACTCCACAGTCATCTCACTTATCTGTTTAACTGAACTGTTTAACTGTATAACCCAGAACTACCTAACTGTCATCCTTAACTGTTACTCTTGACTGACATATCGGTTCATCCACACAGCATTCATTCCAAAACCCCTCCCCCTCTCTGTCACTCACCAATCATATCACTTGCCTGAGTTCAGCATCCTAGTCTGCCATACATCCATACAAACCACTTTTAAAGACACACACACAATAAAACATGGAATCGTTACAGGTATGTTAGGTTACGGCACAGGCAGGGGGTGCTTCTGGCCTTCCTTTTCCTCCTCGCTTGCCAGGGGGTCTGGGAGGAGTCGCTCTAGCCAGAGATCAGTGTTGGAGGCCATATCAGTGAGGCTACCAGTTAGCTAGAGAAGCTTTTCCCTGTATTGTCTGTCCCACCACTTCCTGCAACCTCTCCACTGATGTGATGTAGAACATGTCTTCAGTAACTGCTGAAGTTTATATAAACAGCAATCAATTTTAAATACAGCTTTCTTTGAATTGCAAATATCCAACTGACAGTAAAACTATGAAATAAGCATTTCTCCTTCTTGGAAGAAAGGCAAAATAAAAGTTCTAATCTAAGTAAATAATTCGGCTTACCTTTACGATTTCTTTGTATTTTTCCTTTAAATTTTGGTAAGTGTTGTTATATCTAGCCACAGAAATGAGAGAGAGGGTATTCTTAAATTCACACTTTTTTGTTTCCATGGACCACTTAGCCAGTTTAGTCAGCAGTTCATTTCCAAGCCATGTTGTCTTGGGGTATACAATTCCATCTGAAATATACTTTTCTGGAGATGGCGATAAAACTGAGAGAGACCTTCAAACAACATCCAAAAAACATAAATCAGAGCAGCTCATCCTAAAATATTTCCATGCATCTGTGCCATATGTCACCAACATGACATGAAAATCCTAGTTATGTATTATACTGAAAGACTGTTGGGTACCAAAAATGGCATGGCTGTGAGGACTTTAAGCAAGCCAACTAACCCTTTGTTTCTGGGGAGAGGGGGGAACATGAGGAGGAGGAAGGGCCAAAAGGTTTCTCTGTCACTTGAATTTAAGCACTAGCTTAATTATATATTGTAACACCCCAGAGAAAATAAACTGAGCTCAGAACACCTATTTGTTCCTTCCATAAAAGGATGTCCTTGGGCATACAGCCTTTTCTTTTCTTCCTTTGCAATCAAACCACAGCTGACTTATGGTGACCCCTTGGGGTTTTCAAGAGACATTCAGAGGCGGTTTGCCTATTAATCCTAATAAAAAGAATCACTAAGATTTCATTCACATAATGGCCCTCATATAGGATAACTTTGCTTTTATCTTTCTATTAATCACTAATTTCATTTAAACTAGATTATCCTTAAAGACAATGTAAATGAACTAAACAAATCCAACCAGTTTTTTTTTAATACAATCTGCTTCAAAACCAGACAGCTAAAGTATTGCTTGGGTAGACAAACCTATAACCAAAGAGTGCAATACACAAACTTTTACAAAACATGCTTATTGCATGTTACAAAAGAAAAAAACAGAGTAAATGGCTTAAACTCTTCCTCTACGTGATCTAAAACTATGAACTTATTAAAATAGCAAAAAGCCCATTGTGAAAGCAATACAACGAGATCTAGAAAGAGGCTCTGGGGCAGTGCTCTGGCTTTGGGCAAACAGTGTCATTTTGCTGTGGTGACCTCAGCAGGGTATAATGACAGAGTCCACTGTTTTCTCCAGAGGAACTGATCTCTGCTACCTGAAGAGCAGTTGTAATTGTGAGTGATCTGTAGCCCTCACCTGGAGATTGGCAGCAATTGTTACCCAGGACAAAATGGCTGGTTTGGAGGGTGTAGTCTATGGCATTCTACCTGTCTGAGGTCCCACCCCTCTGCAAACCCCACCCTCTCCAGGCTCCACCCCTCAAATCCCCAGGAATTTGTCAGCATGTAGTTGGCAACCCCATCTCCTTCCCAGCTAGCCACCAACCTACCATTATCTGCCCCTTTGACTTCAGCTGACTTCTGCCCTCCCTTCTGCAGAGCAGTTGTAATACTGAGTGCTCTCCAGCCCTCACCTGGAGATTGGCAACAATGGTTCCCTATGTGGGACTGACTGGTTTGGAGGGTGGAGTCTATGGCAGTGTACCTGTCTGAGGTCCCACCCCTCCTCAAACCTCACCCTCTTCAGGCTCCATCCCTCAAATCTCCAGGAATTTCCCATCTGGAGTTGGCAACCCTATCAGGACTGGCCCCAATGTGTTTTCTCCCAAAGGCCAAAGTAGGTGACAGGACCAAGCTTAGTTGCCTACCAACAGGCACTGAGGGGAATGTAGGGTTGCCAGCTCTAAGGAGGGAAATACCTGGAGGTTTGGGGGGTGGATTCTGTAGAGGGCCGGGCGACGGAGGCATCGGCCTTCTGTCGCCCGCCTTGCCCCCCCAATCTCGGCCCGGGCACCCGCGGCTCCCACCAGCGGCCGCCCGACTCCAGACTCCCCCGCGGCCACTCCAGCCAGGCGACGGAGGCATCGGC